GAAAAGTGTTGGGTGGAGTGTTCCATAAATGGCACTTAAGTCAAGTTGGTTGATAGTGTTCAAGTCTTTTTACTAATTTGCTGTTTATTTGTACTATGATTTATTAAGGGCCAATTGTTGAAATCTCCACCTATAAACTGTGAATTTGCCTATTTCTCCTTTCAGTCATGAAAGTCTTTGTTTCATGTATTTGAACCTCTCTTGCCAGGTGCATACAAATTTAGGATTGTTGTGTACTGTTGATGAATTGAACTCTATCTTTTGAAATTTTTCTCTTTATCCCTGCTAATATTTATTGTTCTGAAGTCTACTTTATGTGATAATAAAATAGCTTTCTTTTGATTGGTGTTAACATAATATATATTTTTGCCATTTTCTATTTTTAACCTATTTGTATCTTTAAAGTAGGTTTCTTATATACAACATATAGCTAGAGTTTTTTTTTTTCATCTGTTTTGACAATCTCTGCTTTTTAACTCAAGTTTTTAGAACATTTACACTTAATGTTTAATATGGTCAATACGATTTGTTTAAAACTGCCTTCTTGCTATTTGTTTTTTATTTGTACTATCTGTTCTTCTGTTCCCTTTTCCCTCCTTTTTTGGTTTTCTTTTAGATTGTTTTTAATGATTACACTTCCTTTCTACTATGGCTTATTAGCTATACTTCTCTTTTACTTACTTAGTGGCTTCTCTAGGGTTTATAATATGCACTCTTAATTACTATAGTCTATCTTCAAATAATACACAACCCTATGTATAGTTTGAGAACCTTGTAACAGTATACTTGTAATTCCCCTTCTGCACTTTGTGCTACTGTTGTCTACATACAGCTTTGGCTGATTCAAGTGTGTGTAACCATGTCCATGATCAATATTCCCACAACACAGCACAGAGGACCACCATTCAGGGCAAAGAGAGAAATGGAATAGTATGTCCCATGTTAATATTATTTAGGGAGAGAATGACTGCATAGTAACCAATTAATCAGAACCACCAGCAACCAGCTTTAGTCCTGGAGCAGGATACTCTAAGCAAGTCGCACCAAACATTGTCATTTTATTTGCTGGATCATGGTAGTATCGAGGAGAGGGTCTGGTATTCCCAGGGCAAAGATGGGGAGGAGAAAGGAGAGGCTCAGGACAGCAGTTATTTACTAAGCAGTTTAGAAGTATTTCAGTATTTTAACACTGATTGGCCATTCAGGATGCATACCAGCTTTGCATATTCCCAAGAGGTAGGTAATGTGAAGTACCCCCTTATAGAGAACCAATTCTCATGGCAATGGCAAATGGAGCCCAGCCCCTGATTTAGAAAACCAGCGGGAGCAAGTCGGCACACAGGAACCAGGCCCATGGATTGGTTTTCCCATGGGGAACCAGGCCTGCATTGTACCTAGACTGCTTTGAGGCTTGCTTTTTGCTAAAACTCCCTCATCCTGAGTTTAGGTAGGCAATGTTTACTGCATCTTTAAAATAACTTCCTAAAGTCTGTGCTAAACTTCCTAAGTATGGAGTGTAACCAGTTCAACCACTTTTCCCCTTGGTCTGCAACATCCTTTCCTTTGTCATCTGTAAAAGGTAATCACCTAAAGCGAACATGTGCACAGTAATTGAGGACCATCCTCAATGTAATTTGTGCAGAAAAGCAATAAAAGCCTGTCCAGGCAGGGATCCGAGCCCCCTCTCTCACTTGAGAGTGTATGTGCCATCCCTTTTCTCCACAGGACTTCTGTAGTCTGTGTGAATTTGTTCATTGAGCCACAACACATGGACCCTACTGGCCAGAGTCTGCATCACCCCCTATACAATATCTTGGAGTTTTCCATAATGCATGGCGTGTTTTCTAATACAGTGTGAAAGAATTCTCTGTCAGTGCAAAGAGAGGTTTCTAGGCTGATCCATCAGCAAAGGGAAACATAGGAAGCATAGGAAAAAGAAAGCTTGTAAGTATGTTACAAGTTATAATGGCAGGTATTTAGTACTTGCCTTCTATCAGACATTATGTGTAGCAATTCACATTCATTACCTCTAAATCTCACCTCAAACCTTTGAGAGTGCACTGTTATCTTCAATCTACAGATGAGGATTAGGAGGTATGAAGAGATCAAGAACTTGCTCATGGTCACACAGTGAAGAGGCATAACTGTATTCTATCTATGACTCATCCATTTAACTGCCCCCTTTGATCAAGACTATTCCTTCCAATGTGTGAAAAATTTATTACTTAAAAGTGTTTTGTTTGTATTAAACAGTAATACCAAATAAAGCCCAGGCTCATGCCTCATCTCTCTATAAATTCCTAAAAGCTCCATTATCTTTCTCAGTCTAGAAGAGGAATTGTGGCTTAAAGCCCCATGATTGTGGAAAATTAACTTAATAAATATATAGGCTGGTTGGTGTAGCTCAGTGGATTGAGTGTGGGCCTGCAAACCAAAGTGTTGCTGGTTTGATTCCCAGTTAGGGCACATGCCTGGGTTGTGGGCCAGGTCCCCAATAGGGGGCACATGAGAGGCAACCTCGCATTGATGTTTCACTCCCCCTCTTTCTCCCTTCTTTCCCCCCTCCCTAAAAACAAATAAAATCTTAGAAAAAAATTAAAAATAAATAAATCTATAGCACTCAATCAACCCATTTCCAAAACCCTTACTTGGTGCCACAAGGGGTGATTAAGGTTGGTCTCCCAGAGCCTGCAGCCTTTCCTAACTCAATATCGTCCATATGGTATATGTAGCAACTCTTTAAACTGGAAGTGGCTGCTGACTTGTATTATTAACCAAAAGATTAAAAATAAAATGAGGAGTTTACATTCTCTTTTCAGGCATCATCTTTTCTCTTAGGTGGCCTTGTCTTTTGAAGGGGAAAGTGACTCAGCTTGCTCAGTAAAAATGAATCCAGTTTGCAGCTTAAGTCTGACAAAATATATATTTTATTTTCTGAAAAGGGTCACTAAACATTACTGGTCTCCATTAAAGTATCCAGAAGCTGTGAGGACTTCCTATAACACCAAACTCCCAAATATGTTACCAGAGTAGGAAGTTCAATCACTAATGTAATAAAACTAATATAGTTCAAAAGAGCTTTTGTTTAATAAGTAACACACCTGCTGGCTTAAGTATAGTGACTCAAAAGCAGGATACACAAAAAGAAACTGGCCACATAAACATATTCAACTATGAATGGACTGTATTTTTCTACTTTTAGAATTTAACAAAGCTTTACACCAGACCTCTTTGACCTTTATAAATGCACTAAACATTAAAAAAAAAAAAAAAACAAAGAAAAAAGGTATCTCAGTAGACTCTAGGCACAATTTTATAATTTTAATATTTCTGTGCTATAGAATACATAGGTGATATTAATTAGCTTTAAAAACAAAGTATTTTTCAATGCTAATTTAAAATATTTTATCTCAAATTTACAATTGAAAACAACTTTCACTAAAAGGTTTGAGATTATCCAATCAGCCTTAATCCAAAGTGGAAAGTACTTAAGAGATCACTGATCTAATGTAAAACTGAACAATGAGTTCAGTTTCTTACTGAATGTAATCAGTGCCCTGGGCTCTGCACAGCAGCTGCCTTAATCTGCCAATTTAAGTACCAATGTTAGCTTAAATATCTGAGAAGCCTCCTCTCTTGAACTTCAACGAGCAGTTTTCCGAGGGTAGATTGAAACCACACCCACACCCTCTTCCTCAGGATGAGCAGGAGATGGGATGCAGTGGACAGGAAGATAAACCAGGTCTGAGCTGCTCCTCAGCTGATTCCAACTTCCTTATGTAGACTGAGATTCAACCAGGAATCTGGCATTTAACTGTCCAGGAGTCTTCATTTTAGGTGCTGTGAGATATTTTCATGTCTTCATGTGAAATCTTGATACATAAAGTTGATCAATGCAATGAACTTTATTTCGTAACTAAGTGGTATCAAGACACAGTACAAGTTTATTTATGGATCTATTTGAGTTTAATAAAATAGGAGATGATGAGATGTTCAGTATTTTTGGATTTGATAAAGGAGTTCAGAGAACTCTGATGGATATGGAGACTGCTATGAAATGACACATACTACCTTGTCAGAACACTAAAAAGGGTTCACAGTTAATAAAGTGGTGTACATAGCAGTAAGAGCAGGGACTCTTAATTCCAGTCTTTGTTGACTGTTTGTATGTTGGGGAAATAACTAAGCATCTCTTTGCCTGAATTTCCTCATCCACAAACATTTGTCATCTCCATCATTTAAGAATTATACTAAGCACTTTGGGAATTCAAAGACAATCATCATGTATTTTACACTCAAAAAATTTAAAAACCTAGCTGGAGATCAAAGTTATACATAAGCACCAGTACATAAGTATAATATAAGGGGGAGGGAAACTGAAAGTAAACCCTGGAGCCAGACTGCCTGGATTGGAATTCTAACTCCACCACTTTCTTCAAGAAGTAGAGCAAGCGACTTAACTCATGAGCCTTAGTTTTCTCATTTCTAAAATGGTGGTAATAGTATTTACACCTCAGAACGGTGTTTTATGAGAATAAAGTAAGTTTAATAAAAAGAGCTCATCAAAACCACAATGAGATACCACTTCACACCCATTAAGATGGCTATTATCAAAAAACAAAATAACACCAGAAAATAACAAGTGTTGCAAAGGATGTGGAGGAACTGGATCCCCGGTGTATTGCTAATAGAGGTGTAACATATACAAACACTGTGGAAACCAGTATGGTGATTTCTCAAAAAATTAAACTGACTTATCTTTTGACCCAGCAATTACACTTCTGGGTACTGTATTTTGCCATGTATATGTGCACCCACATTTGGGGCCCAAACTTTCAGGAAAAAAATCTTTTGGTTTAATTTTTATATTTAGAAACAAAACTGATCATTGTGTTTCAGGGTATTATTTTGCACATGGGTATCATTATTGCTTTCTAGAGTTACACTTTTAATGCATGAGCAAAAATAAAAATTAAAAACATTTATATAGATACAGAATTAGTACTACCAATGTACAATGCACCTCCTTATTTTTCCCTCAAAAATTTGAGCAAAAAAGTACACATTATACATGGAAAAATATGATATTCACTCAAAAGAACTGAAATCAGGGAGTCAAACAGATGTTTTACACCCATGTTCACAGCAGCATTACTCATGATAACCAAAGAGTGGAAGCAACAGAAGTTTCACCCATGGATGAATAGATACACAAAATGTAAGATGTAGATATATTCACACACACACAAATATAATAAAATAGTATTTAGCTTTAAAAAAGAAATTCTGACACATGCTATAACATGGATGCACCTTGGAAACATTATGCCAAGGAAAATAAGTCAGGCACAAAAAAAAATGCTCTGTAATTTCACTTGTATGCGGTACCTAGAATAGTCACATTCATAGATAGAAAGTAGCATGGTGGTTACAGGGGGCTAGGAGGAGTAAACAGAGTTGTTTAATAGCTACAGAGTTGCAGTTGGGGAAGATAAAAGCATTCTGAAGATGGACAATGGCAATGGTTGTACAACAATATGAAGGTACTTAATGCCACTGAACCTATACATTTAAAAATGGTGAAAATGTTAAATTTTATGTATATTTTACAATTTAAAAAGCTCAGAACAGAGTCTGCTACATAGTAAGTGCTTAGCAACTTCTATCCTTAGTGCTTTTAAAAAGAGTTCAAGAGGGAAAATATACAGTCAGAAGATCAGAAACGTAGGTCAGAGATATCATCTGAGCTAAGACTTAGTGGATGGGTAAGATGGATAGCAGTTATATAGAATCATTAATATTAGCACTTTATGAATAAATACTTAGATATTAGGTGACAAGGGTCTGTAAAACTCTTGTCAAAATTTAAAATAACAAATTAACTATTATATGCTAGGCATGGGGGTTATATTGATGAAGGGGTCTAAAACAAATTACTAAACATGGAAAATTAATACATTCAAGGATCAAATAAATACCTCTTATGATCTAATTCTATATTTCATTGGTTGGGTTGCATTAGTTATTATACTTAAAATTTTGGACTTAAAGAACTCTGGTTACATTTTAGATAATCTTTTTCCATACTATCCTATTTTTCCCTAATCTGACCATTCCACTCCCTCTTTTCACTGATTTCTCTTCTACTAAAAACCCAAGTTTGCCTTTTAATTTTACTCTTTTGTTTCTCCCAGTGAGTAAAATCATTAAAATCATAAAGAAAAACAAAATTGTAAATTAAGTTATACTACATGAAACTGTTGAGATCATCCAAATCATTTTGACCTACAAAAGCGGCAACTTCATATACTTGAACACTGTGGTAACCGCAAAGTCCTTGTTTTTAAGAATTTTAAAGCTGAATTTTAGATATTTGGAAATTAAGTGCAATGGCAGTTGTAGGACTTCATATTGGCAAGTGACCTGTTTCCAACTTATAAATCTGACAGCTGTTTTCTATATCTGAAGCCTAACAGCCAATCTGATCTAAATCAAGTCAACCTTTCTGTCTTTGTCAATTACATACTGAAAAAATTAAGGTTCAATTTCTATTTGAAACCTAGTTTGGGATCTTTAAGCTAGATTTCCAATATTCTAGATATTGCTATTCAGATATGAGATGCTTAACATTTAATGCCAAAATTTCACTGAATGGTCTACCACGTGACCAAACATACTATGAGCAACAAAAAGGAGCAGACTACTGACACAACAACAGGCACCAATCGCAAACATATGTGGAATATAGGAAGGCAGAGTGTATATTGTACTATTCCATTTATATGAATTCTAGAAAAGATACATCTCATCAACAGTAACACAAAGCAGATCTGGGGTTGCCTGCAGCTGGGGGTAGAGAAATAGATTGTGGGAAAGGTTTTAAGGGAACTTTTTGGGCTGATGCAAATGTTCACTATCTTCATTGAGGTGACAGTTATATAGGCAGTATAAGTTGGTCAAAGTCAATGAAATGTGCACTTAAAATAGATGCATTTTGGTTTATGTAAACAGTACCTCAATACATTTAATTTACAAAAAAACACAAAATGACAGTATTTTTAAGAAGGCATTTTAAAAAAGAAAATGACAATTTAACAAGTAAAACATGAATACCTTACTTTTTAATAATTAATGTATTATGGATAAAACTAAAGTTTCCTTGGACCACCTTCCCAATCCTCACTGCCACCCCTAATCTATCCCAATTATACCGTCCCCCCAAAAAATCACTATTGTGCATTTGGTATGGGTTCTTTTGAACCTTTAAAAATATATTTACATACATATACAGCCACTGAAAACATATAGTATTGTTTTGTACAAAGATATAACTTGTACACATTTTTCTGCAACTTGCTATTTTCACTTAACATTATATTTATGAAATCTATCCATGTTAATGTAGATAATGTTTATTTCTTTTATATCCAATATAGTAATCTGTTATATAACTATAGTGTATTTTATTTAGCCAGGCCTTTCCCTCTCCTAACAGATATTAGGTGGGTTTTCCCTATTGCAAGTCACCAGTGTAGTGGTAAATAGTAGTTACCACTGGGGTGTCCCCAGAGATTGCAGCGGGTGTTCCAAGGGGACTTTAGCCTTCTCTGTAAGGTTTAATTTTTTTTAAAGATTTTATTTATTCATTTTTAGAGAGAGGGTAAGGGAGGGAGAAAGAGAGAGAAAGAAACATCAGTTGGTAGTCTCTCATACACACCCCAACAAGGGACTGGCCCACAACCCAGGCATGTGCCCTGACTGGGAATCGAACTGGCGACCTATTGATTTTCAGGATGACACTCAGCCAACTGAGCCACGCCAGTCAGGGCTGTAAGGTTTAGTTTTTTACAATGAGAATGTAGTCATGTATTATTTATATAATTCAAGTATTGACTTTAATTAAAGAATTTTTTGCTAAATTATCAAGAAAGAAAAAAATAAAATGATAATAGGAAGCAATCATCTATTAAAATATAAGGAAAACAAGTTATAGGGCATAATAGTGTACTCATGGTTTGAGACATAAGCACATACTAAAAAATAATGATCTGAGCACTGAACAATTCATATAAACACATTCTCCTACTCAAAGCAATTATAACGAAATTATCAGCATACTGTTATCATGGCATCAGCATAATTAATACTTGCACAAATACTTCATTTATACTTTTTGCTTTCTTCTTTTATGACTATGATGTTTTTCCCCATCCCTGAAATGAAAGGGGTGAAAAAACTATCATAAATGATGGACATTTTAATCGAAGAGCTTTAAAATAATAATTCATCAGTAGTATACCCACATCAGATATAAACCAGAACAAACTAAAACATGCGTTTAGAACTAAACAGTGAGTTTTTTAAGAGTAAACATGGAAAATGCATCATTAAATCTAAGGGACAAAATTGAGATGGAGATAGACAAAATGGATTTTTTTAAAAACTGCACTTTGGCATCTGCTTTAAAATTAACCTTTAAAAAAAAAGATTTTATTCATTTATTTTTAGAGAAAGGAGAAGGGAGGGAGAAAGAGAGGAAGAGAAACATCAGTGCTGTGCAAGAGAAACACTGATCGGCTGCTTCTCGCACACCTACAACCCAGGCATGTGCCCTGACAGGAAATCAAACCAATGACCTTATGATTGGCCGAATAATGCCCAACCCACTGAGCTACACCAGTCAGGTCTAAAATTAACTCTGGATGTATGTAATTGGTTGATGACCAGAGAATTCGTTTCAAACAGAATACTAAAGTCATAGAAGAAATTCAGAAACTGTCTGATGTCCTTATCCTGGCTATCTCAATGCCCCACAATTCATTCTATCTCAGGGGGAGTATCAAAAATTAGCTTATTGAGAAATCTTTCCTGCTAATACTCAGTTTATCCTCTCTTAAAAGAAAATTATTCGTGTTCAGATTTCGAGGTTGTCTAATCTATTTAAGTCACAGGGATTGATAAGACATGTCAAAATTTATTTAATACCAGAAAGGAGTTAAAGAATATGATTTCTGATAGCTAATCAACAGTTAATTTGTAAAAATGTGTTATATCATTCATTATATAAATCAAAAGGGATTACTAAGCAAATATTTTATTCTTATAAGAGGACTGAATCATAGCTACCTTTAAACCAATGAACTAAATATAATAAGATGAATGAAATTATTAAACCAATAAGCCTTACTTATTCCTGATCACCAGTGGCCTAGGAGAGAGAAGATATCATTTGAGAGCCCATTATTAGAAGAGCACTATGCACATAACACTAAATAAGACATGGGCCTGCCCCCAAAGAATCACAGCCTCATAGGGAGAGTAGTAATTAATTTCAATAGAAAGTTGTGCCAGTTAGACAGGTAAGAAAAAGGAAAAGATCAGCTCTATTTGTACTGGAAAAAAAAAAAAAAAAGGCTTCATGGGAATAACTAAGCTAGGTCTCAAAAGATGAAGAGTTTACCAAGCAGGTTTAAAAAAGAAAATGAGGCAGCAGAACATGACATGTTCTGTCATGGGAAGGCACAGACACAGCACAGTGTGGATGAGGAAAGGCAGGTAATTCAGGCTGGTGAAAGCATAAGCTATGTGTTTCATGGGTAGTGGCAAAACAGAAGGACAGGCAGGCAGATGCCCTGATCCTGGAGGTCTTGCGAGCCATGCTAAGGAGAGTGAATTTTTCCACTGAAGAGTTTTAAGAGGTGAAAATTCACTCAAGCAGTAGGGTAGGGATAAATCCATAAGGGACAAGCTTCGAGACAGGTAGAACTATTGGGAAAACTACCATAATTTTCCAGATGGACAGCAATAATGACAGAGGAGAAGGTGTATATTAGGTACACTCAGGTAAAACTGACAGCAATTAAGACTAGATGGTAAGTAATAAAAAAGGAGTATCTGACATGACTCCTTGATTTCTGGTTTAGATGAACAAATGATCATCCACTAACCAGGATAAAAAATACTGGGGAAAAAGGAGCAGACAAAGAAAAAGTTAAGTTCAGGTATAGCCCCACTGAGCTTCAGATCTCAGGAGATGTCCAGTAAGGAGCTAAAATATAGGAGTAGACCTCAATCACTTTAAATTTATTATTTTACTATTAGTTCATATCTCTCAGCTATGAAAATTTTATCAGGAATACAAATAAGGGCAAAATTGACCGATTAAAGTTTAGATCTTCTCCCTGACACTATATACCCTTTACCTGAGGAATTAGCAAGAAAAAGGGAGGGGAGTGGAGGCAGAGAGGGAGGGAGTGAGGGAGGGAGGGAGGGAGGAAGGAGGAGAAAAAAAAGCAAACACCTTTTAACACAGGTAACTTTCTACGTAGACATTACTTTCATATGCCCTAGTTAGAAAATAAGTAAGAAAACAGGGAAACCTGTATATCCAATTGGGCATATAGACAACTATGTCACCACAGCTGTGTTTATGTAACTGAGGCAGGACTATTTACTTCCCTTACCATAATTTACTCTTATATTTTTTTCAACATGGTCTATAGCAGAAGAAACTATCTATTCTTCAAAGGTAAACAAGTCAATGTTGGATGATACAGTGATAGATTACCTCTCTTTTCTTCTTCTTGAATCCCAGTTTTTATCTTTATCTTTATTTCTTTTTCGTTTATGTGGGCTCCTACTCCGATCCCTTCTATGTCGTGAACACTCAGCATCCAAATAGCTTCCACCAGACTGCCGTGAATCTACTGAAACTGATCGCCTTTCATTCCTGAAACGTAGAAAGGAATATTAATCAGTTAGTTTTAACCACTGGTCTTCAGTATGGACCAGCCTAAAGTCCAATATTCTGTTTCACACCAATGATAACTATGTATAATCTAACATTCCATACAAAAGGGCAATCAAAGAAACAAAGCTTCTATAACATGTTTTACAACTGGGTTGTAAATAATCCTGAGCAATGACAAGAAACAATAAGCATTCTGATGACTTACAGCATGCTACTAATGGCCTTGGAAATGCTAAAATTCAGTTAAATAATTATAGGTAACAGTTTAAAAAGAGAGTAGTTTTACCAGTAAACACAATGACATACTTTTCACCATCATCCTCTGCTCTTTCCTGCTCTTCCTGCCACTGATTACTGAGTTCTTCCATGTGCACGTTTATCACATCCCGAATCACCTGAGGAGAGTTAAGCACAGAATTTCAGATAAGAAATCTGTTCAAAAAATTAAGACTATACTGCAAGAAAAAAGTCTCTGCTGACAACAAAATATTTATTAAAAGCCATGATACAATGGACTGTGGAATGTGCAGAGTTTAGAAAACATAAAAAAGGCAACAGTCAAATTGGAATGTGAATTGTAGGTGAAATTATACCAATGTTAAATTTGCTGAAGTTGATAACTGTACTATGATTATGTAAGAAAATACCCCTATTCTTAGGAAAGACATACTAAGTATTTAGGGAAAAAGGATTATGATGTATGGAACCTGTAAACCGTTAAGAAAAACATTAATGTACAGATGGAGAAAGAGAGAAAGCAAAAAATGTAATGATAAAGAGAGTACAAATGACAAGCAAATGGAGCAAGATGTTAACAATAGGTGATTTGTATAAAGGACATAGGAGTTCTTTATACTATTTTTAGTTTTGCAATTTGTTTCTACGTTTGAGATTATTTACAAATAAAACTCTTCTTAAAAAACCTAATTAAGTCAAGATGACAGACAAAACATGAAACATTATAGTCACTTCAGATACTTTCCCAATGAGTCTATAAATCAACCACTTACGAACCATTTAAAACTTTTCTTTTCCCTATTTATCCTATGGCATCATTAAGCACAGGGCTCATCATTGTTTAGGTGAAACTTAAATAGAAAATTACAGTTGTTTCCCTCATGTCTAATTAGGAAAGTTTTAAGAAGAAAGGTATGGGAAACAAGGGCAATCTCCAAGGCACGCACTGTACTTCACTATGACTCTCCACCTTTTAAGAAATTTTCAACAGCCCCTGAAATAAAATAACTCCTTAATGTCCAAACTCCTTAACAGAGTCTTTGAAGCCTTCCATGATTTCACTATACCACACAGTAGAAGCCAGCTTTATCTCCTTCTGGATACTTCTTCAAAATCCCTAAATTCTAGTCACCCTGGATTACTACTGGGTCTCTGGAAAACTCCTATACTTTTATTCATTTTTAGGAACTCTAGTCCTTCCACATGGAAAACCCTTATCCACCATTCTCTTGTGGAAAATCGAAGATAGGTCAATGTCTAATTCAGGGAGCGACATGAGTCACACATACCTGAATTCCAATTCCAGCTATAGCACTTCCCTATCTGACTCCCTGACTAGTACTTCTATGCCCAAGTGTCACTGGACATGGTTTCCACAGAGCCACCACATGGAAAGAGCCAATAAACAGGCATTCCTTTACCCCTTTTGCTGCTTCTCCCCTTCTCTCAAATACCATCTTCTCTTTGAAGCCTATACCAACATTCCCTTAAAAAAATTGATCCTTCCTCCCCCAAACTCCGATCTTACCTCATTTTAGCACTTAATCACAATCTGTATTTTGAAAGTTCTTTTTTACTTGTTAAACTGTAATAAGCTCCTCACAGGTGGCGTCTGTGTGCATTTATCTTCACATACCCCAGAGTAGTATGGTATGCATAGTAACTATATTATGTAAAAAATTTTTACTGACATTTGTCAAAGTTCAGGTTCTACTTTAGAGCAAACAAAAATTATATCACATAAATGAAACTAGGAATGGATAAAATGTTAAAAAGCCCAATCAGAGATAAATCAATAAAAAATTATAAACACTAAAGTATTTACAGATGGAAGATATTTGGGATCTGTTTCCAAAATTACCAAGCAACAGGGCAGGGGGAAAAGGTAGTAAATGGGACCATAAATGAAAGAAGGTGATCCTATGTAGATAATTGTTGAAACTAGGTGATGGTACCTAAGGGCTCATTAGACTATTCCATCCACTTTAGTATACACTTGAATATTTCCATAATATAAAGTTAAACCTTAAAATTATAAAGAACACTAGCAGGCAGCACCACAAGCTTGATCACAAAGTGTGAGACTAGAAAAGAAACAAATTATGTACAACCAAGTATTTAAGGGACTATAAAAATCGGTATGGTAGTATAACATGGTTCCAGATGTCTACTGAGAGAGATAAGTCTAAAATGGATAACTTAATTGCAAAAAGAACAGCATAAAATTAAGTGCTAAACTTTGTGGTATAGATCATAAGTGCAATAAGTTGGTGGATGGCTTAGAGTCAATTACACCTCATGGAAACAGTGGATATCAAGATTTTAAACAGTGAAAATAAAATTATTTCTAAAAAAGATGCATTACTGGATAAAAAAGATAAAAAGTTAAAAAAGTGAAAACATAAAAACTCACTTGATAAAGAAGATGCATCAAGATGGGTAGGCGAGAGACAGAGACATGGTCTCACCAAGGCATGGTGACCTACCTACAAATGGACGGAATCCAAACAAATATGGAAACGTGCCTTGAAGAGTGAAAGGATTATAGCCCACATTAGGCAGTCCAACCCTGGGATCTGGCACCAGAAAAACAAGCCCCCGAAATGTCTAGTTTTGAAAATCAATGGGGATTAAGTCCAGGAGAAACACAGAACAGTAAGGAATTGAGAACCTACTCTTAAAGGTATCCTGTGCAGACCTACTCACCCTGAGATCCAGCACAAAAGCAACAATATGAAAAGGCTTAGAACATGAGGGAGACTCACTTAGAAAACTTAAATTGGGTGCTAGAGAGGCAAGAACCTGCAAAGACTTTCCCCAGGGGCAGAAGCACTGGCTAGCACCATTTTTGCAATTTCATCCCATTATTGTTGACAGAGCTGGTATGTGCCATTTTTGGTGCCATTCCTCTGGCCTGCCAGCATGGGTAGAGTGATCCTCCCACCCCATGTTACTACCAGGCCAGGCAAGAACCCATGCCTTGCCCACCCCAAGTGGTAGACACACTATAACCAATCACGAAAGCACACCACAGCCTACCCTACCCATGCAGCAGCTGTACCACAGCCTGGCCAGAAGAATATCCTGCAACCTGCCCATCTCACACTGCAGCTGCCTCTGCCACAGGCCAAGGGTAAGCACACCCACACAAAGGATGCACCCTGGCTGAGGATGAGTGCCTGGCTTTGGGGAAAAGAGGAGATTGTGCTTCTGGAGAGGAGAGCACAATCTGGATTGTGCTTGAGGAGAGGAGATCGTCTCCGACACAAGGCCATTCCCCTTCAGGACTGGGGGAGGTTTGTCTAATATGTAGACAAATACAGGGAGTCAGGCAAAATGAGGAAACAAGTACGTTTCCAACCAAATAACAAAACAATCCAGAAAAATTTAATTAAACAGTGATAAGTAGCCTACCTGATAAAGAGTTCAAAGTAATAGTCATAAAATTGCTCACTGAACTGTGGATGAGTATAGTGAAAACTTTAAGAGATAGAAAACATAAAAGAGTACCAAACAAAGTTACAGCTGGACTGGAAATACACTAGAGGGGTTAAACATCAAATTGGATGAAATAGAAATAAAACTCAGTGAGTAGGAAGAGAAAGCAATGAAAGGCACTCAGAGCAGCAAAATGAAAAAAGAATTTTAAAAAGTGAAGATATCTTAAGTTATCTCTGGGACAATATCAAGTGGAATAACATTCACATTATAGGGGTCCCAAAAGCAGAAGAAAGAAAGGGCCATAAAAGCTATCTAAAGGGCTTGGGCTGAGTGGCTCAGTTGGTTAGGGCATCGTCCCGTGCACCAAAAGACTGCAGGTTTGATTCCCTGGCCAGGGAACATACCCATGTTTTAGGTTCAGTCCCCAGTTGGGGCACGTACAGGAGGCAACCAATCAATGTTTCTCTCTCACATAGATGTTTCCTTTTTCTCTCCCTCTCTTTCTGTTATCCCCTTCATCTCTCAAAAATTAATACATATATCCTCAGGTGAGAAATAAAAACTATAATTATAATAAAAGGTTTTTTAAAGAAAAATTAGAAAAAAATTTCCTGATCTGGGAAAGGAAACAGACTCCAGATCCAGGAATCCAAGAGAGTTCCAAATAAGATGAACACAAAGAGAACTACATCAAAACACATTATAATTCAAACAGTAAAGTAAAGGATGAAGAGAATCTTAAGAGCATCAAGAGAAAAACAACTTATTACAGATAAGGCAAACTCTATAAGGTTATGGCATATTTTTTTCACCAGAAATTTATAGGCCAAAGGGTATGGCATGACATAATTAAAGTGCTTGATGGAAAAAATTTCCAACCAAGAATTTTCTACCCAGCAAGGTAAAAAGTAACATTTGAAGGAGAGATTAAGAGCTTTCCAGATGAGCAAAAGCTTAAACAATTTATCACCATTAAACCAGCCTTACAAGAAATGTTAAAGAAACTTTTCTAAGTGAAAAAGGCACTAATAGATAAGAAAACATACATAGGTAAAAATATCACTTGAAAAGGTAATATACAGTAAAGGTAGCAGATCAATCATGTATAAAGCAAATATCAAGGTTAAAAGATAAAGTAAAATTAACTAAAAATAATTAAGGAAAACACAAAAAGATATAAAATGTGCCATTAAAAATATAAAACATGGGCAGGAAATGTAAAACTTTGGAATGTGTTCAAACTTAAGTCACTATCAACTTAAAAGAGACTACCATATACAGAGGACATTCAAAGTGATCCTCATGGTAACCACAAAGAAAAAACATAACAAAAACACACAAAAGAAAATGAGAAAGGACCCTAAACAAAACACTAAAGAAAACCAGAAAGGAATAGAGAAGAAATATAAAATCAGCCAGAAAACAATTAACAAAGTAGCAATAAATACATACTTATCAATAATTACTTTAAATGTAACAACTAAATTGAGCAATCAAAAGACACAAGAGTGGCCCTGTCTGGTGTGGCTCAGTGGATTGAGTACCCAATTGCAAACCAAAGGGTCGCCAGTTCAAGGCAGATTCCTGGGTTGCAGGCCAGGTCCCCAGTAGGGGGCAGTGTGAGAGGCAACCACACATTGATGTTTCTCTCTCTCTTTCTCCTTCCCTCCCTCTCTCTCTAAAAATAAATAAAATCTTAAAAAAAGAAACAAGAGTA